CTCAACCCGCGGACGATTCACTGGAGTTGGAAGACTGGTGGACTGTGAACTCGATGCTGGTCTCATGGATCCTCAACACGATAGAACCAACCCTACGCTCTACAGTCACATACATGGAGGTTGTGAAGGACCTGTGGGACGACATCAAAGAACGGTTTTCAGTGGGCAATGGGCCAAGAATTCAGTAACTCAAGGCAGATCTTGCGACCAGCAAACAGGTCGGTCTCCCAGTCGTGGCATATTATGGCAAATTGAAGCAAATCTGGGAAGAACTTGCTAATTATGAGCAAATTTCGACATGCGTCTATGCAGGCTGCAACTGCAACATCGCCACAAAACTGGAGAAGAGACGAGAAGAAGAGAGAGTTCATCAGTTTCTAATGGGCTTGGATGACTCAGTATATGGAATAGTGCGTTCCAATATTCTGGGCACCAATCCGCTGCCAAACTTGAACAAAGCCTATGCCATGGTGATACAAAAGGAGCGGCTGAGAACCATGACCCGCAGCAAAGAAGAAAGAAAATAGGCAATGAGCTTTGCTGTGCAAGCACAAGGTGGCACAAAAAGAACGGGACACAATACAAAAGAGAAATCTAGAGTGTGCACCAACTGTGGACGAACAGGACATGAGGCCGAGAGTTGCTTCCAACTTATCGGCTACCCGGACTGGTGGGGAGACCGGCCGAGAATTACTGGGAGTGGGAAAGCTCGAGGCCGAGGAACACAAGGTAAATCTGGTCGTGGACGTGGAGGCGGACAGAGAGCGAATGCTGCACAAGCGGTAGGGCAAACTTCTGAACCGACCCACGCGACAGAGGGAGATCGCACTGCGTTCGGTGGATTGACTAATGAACAATGGTCCACTTTCCTTAATCTGTTGAATTCTTGCAAACCCAACACAACCGAGAAGTTGACAGGTATGAATTGGATAAGAGCTTCGCACCATATGACAGGAAACCTGAACCTCTTGCGTAATACCGAGACCGTGACTGGTTGTCAGGTTGGATTGCCCGATGGAAAGCATGTCATGGCAATAAAGAAAGGGATCGTCATTTTGAATGAGCACATGGAGCTTATAGATGTGCTTTATGTTCCTCGTTTAAATTGTAACCTGATATCTGTGTCGCAATTATTAAAAGATTCAAATTGTAATATCCAATTCACTAATAAATTTTGTGTTATATCGGACCGCACTTCGAGGATGGTGATTGGTGCGGGTGAACTACGCGGAGGGCTCTACCGCTTCAAAGGTGTGCACTCAAGCAGAGCTCACAAAGCAAAGGTTGAAGCATCATACGAGTTATGGCACAAAAGAATGGGTCATCCCTCTGAGAAAGTAATTAAACTTCTTCCTGATTTAAACATTAGATGTGATAGTAGAAATAGGATATGTGGTGTTTGTTCAAAAGCCAAACAGACAAGAAGTGCGTTTGATTCTAGTGAAAACAATGCTAAAGGGACTTTCGATTTGATTCATTGTGATTTATGGGGTCCGTACTCGGTACGAGCATCTTGTGGTGCCCCATATTTTTTGACCGTGGTTGATGACTTCTCAAGAGCCGTTTGGGTATTCTTACTTAATGACAAAAGTGAAGTAGGAAAAACACTGCGGAACTTCTTCACTATGGTAAAACGCCAATATGGAAAATTGGTGAAGATAGTTAGAAGCGACAATGGTACTGAATTTACTTGCTTGAAGGAATATTTCTCTGAGCAAGGCATAATACATCAGACCTCATGTGTTGAAACACCGCAGCAGAATGGACGTGGAGAGAGAAAGCATAGACATATACTAAATGTTGCCCAAGCTCTTAGATTTCAGGCCAATCTCCCTATTGAGTTTTGGGGAGAATGTGTTATGACAGCCGGTTATCTGATCAACAGGACCCCCTCCACTCTCCTTTTGGGTAAAACGCCGTATGAGATGTTGTATGGGGAGAAACCAAGCTACAAACATATACGCACATTTGGATGTTTGTGTTATGCACGAAACCTAAATTGGACCAGGGACAAGTTTGCCAGTAGAGCCAGACGTTGTGTCTTTTTGGGATATCCCTTTGGCACGAAGGGATGGAGAGTTTATGACTTAGAAAATAATGAATACTTTGTTTCTAGGGATGTGGTGTTTTCAAAAACTGAATTTCCTTATGCTATTGAAGAAAAACAAGTTGAACACAAACCCGATGATGGTAATCTTGCTTATGACCAGGAGGAAACTGAAGAGTATGGCGAAGAGGATAGTGAGAGAGGAAGGGGTAATGGTACTCGTGAGATCATAAGAGAGACAGATCAGGACGACATGAATGAAAATAATGAAGGGGAGCATGAAGTAAGGGGGGTTCTATGTAAGAAATGAATGCAGGGAATGAGCAACTTGGACGAGTCCATAGAGTGAAGCATCCTTCCACCCGTCTCAAGGATTGCGTCATACACACCACATGGTGTTTCGATCGCAGTCTGAGCCCTTCTGCCAGTTCCTCTCGCCAATTTCCCTCCTCAGGTACTCCCTATYCTATAACACATTATGTGAATTGTGATAAATTTTCTTTGCAACACCGCTCTTTCTTAGCAGCTGTCACAGCTAATCATGAACCCCAGAGCTATTCAGAGGCTGTCAAGGACTCTCGTTGGAGAGAAGCAATGAGAAAGGAAATTGAAGCCTTAGAAAACAACAGAACCTGGACAGTGGTGGACTTACCGCCAGGGGAAAAGGCTCTCGGAAGTAAATGGGTATACAAGATAAAGTACCACTCATATGGCACAATAGAGCGGCACAAGGCGCGTTTGGTGATATTTAGAAACAAACAGGTTGAAGGGATAGACTACAATGAAACATTTGCGCCTGTGGCAAAGATGGTTACAGTCTGCACATTCCTTGCAGTAACTGCGGCTAAAAACTAGGAACTGCATCAGATGGATGTGCAGAACGCGTTCCTTCACGGAGTCCTGCAAGAAGAAGTGTATATGAAGATGCCCCCTGGATTTGCTTCAAGACTACCTGGGAAGGTGTGCAAGCTTCACAAGTCGCTTTATGGCTTGAAGCAGGCCCCTCGTTGCTGGTTTGCTAAACTAACGACAGCCTTAAAACAGGGCTTATCCAGTCACAATCTGATTACTCCTTGTTTACACTTCGACGAAAGCAGGAACAGTTGAACATCTTGGTGTATGTGGATGATCTTTTTATCTCTGGAAATAATGGCAATGCCATACGGAGATTCAAGGAGTATCTGAGCCAATGCTTCCATATGAAAGATTTGGGAGCTTTGAAGTATTTTTTAGGAGTGGAGGTCGCCAGAAGCCARAAAGGTATTGTTCTTTGTCAGCGGAAGTATGCTTTGGATATCATATCAGAAACTGGATTGCTAGGATCTAAGCCAGCTGGACTTCCCCTGGAACAAAATCATAAACTAGCTCTGGCAGATGGTCCTCTGATAATGAAACCAGAGAGTTACAGGAGGCTCGTGGGTCGTTTAATTTACTTAACCATTACCCGTCCTGACTTGTCATACTGTGTACATGTGCTTGCTCAATTTATGCAGAACCCCCGTAAAGAACACTGGGAGGCAGCTTTACGTGTGGTGCGATATTTGAAAGGTAAACCGGGACAGGGAATTTTCCTTCCAGCTGACAGTGATCTTCGGTTGTATGCTTACTGTGATTCTGACTGGGCCGGGTGTCCACTGACACGACGCTCTCTCACTGGATACTTTTGTGTTATTGGGACAAGCACCTATCTCATGGAAGACAAAGAAGCAACTTACAGTATCCAGATCATCGGCTGAGGCAGAATACAGGTCTATGGCAACAACTGCATGTGAATTGAAATGGTTAAAAGGGTTGTTGCATTCATTAGGAGTCGGTCATCCTGATCCTGTGCGATTACACTGTGATAGTCAAGCAGCCTTGCATATCGTTGCGAATCCGGTCTTCCATGAGAGGACTAAACACATTGAAGTAGACTGTCACTTTGTCCGCAATGAAATTCAGAATGGGAATATACGGCCTTCCTACGCTGATATGTTTACAAAGGCCCTGGGCAGGCAACCATTCCAGCATCTTCTTGCCAAGTTGGGCATTTCCCGTTTACATGCTCCAACTTGAGGGGGGTATTAGCGTAGCTTTATCCTTCTTACTGTTTGAGTCCTATTGGTGTATGAATCTTAGTTGTTCTTTGTTTTGGCTTTCATTGTTCATGTAGGAGTTTGTATCCTAATCGCAAGAGGGAACTAACTCTACCTCTATATATATCTTGTAATGTTCGGTTGAAATGATACACAGAGAAAGAAAATTCTTCCCTTCAGACTCGAGTGTCTCAGTTTATCAATATATGCTACAAAATCGAGCAGCTCCCATCTCTAGATTCGAAAAGCAACAAGTAAAATCCGGCGACGGAGTGAAAGGATCGGGAGATTAACCGGTCTGTAGTATTACAACTAGATTCCACGAAAGCAATAAGAGACAGAACGAGCGCAACCTTGCAGAACTCCATTGCAGAACCCAACCTTATGTTTCCCGAAATCTTTTCAGGTTTCAACCTCCATGTACTTGCAGAGAAAGAGAATGCGTTTCAATGATCTGAGCTTGTGACCAAGGGTTCGGTGAGAAGAAACAATTCTCTCGGATGCGCCATTCGGTAGAATTGAGTAGGAAACACCCCGAATTAGCCATTGTAACAAGTTATGGCGGCTATGGCCGAGAGAAACGGAAAACAGGGGAAAGAGGGAAGAAGAAAGAGAGGAGAGAAAGGGAAAGGGGAAGAAGAGAGATCGTAGGGAGAGAGAGAAATACGAAGGAATCTGAGGTAAAGGGAAATAGTATTTTTCTCTCAGTTATCCGAATAATTATTATGAAATTAAAAAATTTTGTAACGGCTTTTTTGAACGGAAAAGAGGTCTTTGTCTCACAGAAGAGTCTTTGTCGCAAAATAAAATATAGGGGGATACAAGAGGGTCTTTGTAATTTTATAATTACTAAACTTTAGGAAGAGGTTCAGCAACAACCAAAAGCTTCATAGAGGTTTTAGCAATTTACTCAAAGTTAAACGCGGGAGTAGTGCCAAACTGTCAACTGCCAAGCCCGACGGTAGAATTTCTTATCTGATTATGATACCGAAGAAGCATGATACCTAGAAAACAAATCAACCGGTATCGTAAAAGTGGTAACCTGCTTACCGGTATTTATCAAAATATCATACCCTTGCGACTTGCGTCATCGTAAAGTTTCCTACAGTTTATCTTGGTGCGTATGTGTTTACGCGCGCTATTTTTTTTTTTTTTTTCAAACCCAAGGGCTTTGAACGGAGAAATACCAACTGATCTCCAAACTCCGTTGCGACTAGTCTTCCCATTAATTTCTGCTTTGAAAATGGCCCCGGTATGCAAGATTTCTTGATTTTTCTTGTCGTTTTTTTTTTCATTTATTATTTCATTAAATTCTGTTCTCGCTACACTGGTATCTGTTGATTGTTTGTTCTTGGTCTGGTAGGCCTTACTCGTCGGCCATTTTACCAGCCACGAGGTTTGTTTTATCTCTTCCTTTTGTTATCATTATTATGTAAATTTTCCCGTTATTCTTAGGGGAAAAGAAGATGCGAAAACTTCAGTAGAGAAAGGACTAACCCTGATGACTTCCTTTTGTAAACATTCAACACGAAAAGTCTATAAGGGACCAAATAAAGTGAACCCAATACCTCCGATTAGTGGCCTGTTTTCTCATCGAGTTATTTTGTATTAGATCTTGAGCGGCATGGAATTAAATTATTATAAGTATGCAATTCCATGCCACCTGGAATATCCATCAAGATGCTCTTCAGATATCATCATCTAAACCTTATCCCAACTATATAGGGTCGACCACATTTGTTTCTGTTTGGTGCCATATCCATTGTAAAAGATCACCTTTTTTAATAGGTGTTTAAATGATCTCCTATGCACGCGAACCAACCCTCTCAATCTACTTTCTCTTGTTTTATCACCTACTGGAGCTATTCTTAGATTCGTTTTTATGACTTTACCAAGGTGCTATTTAGATATTATTATTAAAATTGCCATTGGTAGGCTTTGGAACCACCCTAAGACTGAGAATCTCATTGGTTTATATTGGCATATTTTGGGGAAATTGCAAACCATGCATATGAGCCTCCTAACAGAACAAACCATAGTGCAGCCTATGGACATTATTACTGGCTTATTTAATGCAGCAAAAAACAGAAGGGTTGGATTGAATTGGAGAATTCAGTTATAGATGTGAATGGTAAACACTATTCTGGCATTGAGAATGCAGAGTAAGGCTGAGTGCTATGGATGGTTGATTGAAGCTCTCTGAATACGTGAACATGCAGGTTGCAGAGTGGGTGGATGGCATGGGTGGGGTCCAATATTTTATGAGTTACACCGAGAATATTTCTTTGGTCAAAACCACACTAGTTAGAGGTAATAATTATTTTGATTGTGTTTGGTACCACTTTTGTTTATACTTACTTGAAAGTTGAAACGTTTTGGATTGACTAATACAAATTGGAATACAACTGTTATTTGAGGCTGTTTATAGTTGAAACAGGCATATATGCCTTAAAAAATGCATATGCCTGAGGCTGTTTGGGGTGAAGTTTTATAATTCTAGTTAGAGTGACTCTCAATTGTGATGTGAAAACAATACATATCTCTCACCAATTTGTATTGATCAACCCAAAACGTTTCTGGTAAAAAGAGTAATGGTACTAAAATACAACCTTTATCTAATATAATGTGTTTTATGACAATACATTTACTTATTGGTGAATATGTTGCCTTGCCTGTTGTTCGTTTATGTATGCTTTATCTTCCATCAATATCCTTAGCCTAATTTAATGTTGTTCATTTTGTTTAATTAATAATATTCATGAAAGTTTCTAAGTCTTGCTACTGGTTCTGCATGGCCATGTTTCTCCGCGTGCTTGAGTTTTCATGTAGAGACATAATACTAGTATTGCAGAACCATGTTTAACTAAGAATTTTCTCTTCACTTTTCACCCAAGTGTGGAAAATTGCACTATGGATCTAATCTTCTTATATTTACTTCTCACTCAGGTGTTACAATTACATATCTAACCTCACATACCTTAAAGTTAAAGCTAGAGCAGAGGGTCCATGGTCCCTATTTTAGAATAAGAAGAAATTATAACTCTAAATAACATCATTACAACAAAAACAAACTTAAAGGGAAAAATAAGTGAAGAGAGATTACTCCTATAAGAAGTTGCATCAAACAACTCAATCTTGTTCTAGGCTTATAGCAGGCAATCCAGTTACATTCCGTAATTCTGAAAGTTTAATGTTTACAAGTTACAACTGCTGAATATAAAGGGGGGATTGCTTGATAGTTGATAGGAATATAGGATGAAAAAGCAAAGATACCTTTGACTAATGACTGGCAAATGACTAATGATGCCCCTTAAACTAACTTCCAACTTACAAGATTTAAAACCAAGAATAAAAGAAACATAAAAGACATTTATAGGACATAGCATCTTGATTGGAATTGGATTTCATACAAAACAAAGTGAGAAAAGTAACCTTACTGCCTAAAATTAAGGAAGAAACAGAGTAGCATAACCAACTGTTGATCGACTTCATAACAGCTTCTTTAGGACTATTTCCCAGATTGTATATGAAATTTGTCTGTACATCATCCAGAAAGGGATATTTTTGGTATACACTTGTTTATTTTTGGTTGTAGACGAATTAGGAAACCTTAGAAATCTAATTCAATGGTACAAAATAACTAGCTTGTTCACTAGGACAGTATATAGTTAAATTGAGAATTGTGGATTTCATAGGATCTTCCATGTATGTAGACACAAAAACACAGACTATGTTAAATCTTGTGAGTCCTCTGTTTGCACTATTCTCTTTAGTTTCTTTTGGATTCTCTCACTATATTCTGTTCACAAATGATGCTTTCTACAATGAAGTGTCTCAATTTGAACTAAATACAATTTAAGTAGGCGCAATCCCAATTATTTATGGTCAGCTACATAAATCATAAATTAACGTTTATGATTTTTAACCAGTAATGGACCAAGCAACTTTATTAGAAATAAAAAAAAGAAAAGTACAACTAGTAAATTGCTTTGTGAACTTGCTAAAAGAATTTCAGCACCTTCCATGACAATGGGGCAAGAATTCCAACCAGAAGCTGCCCTAGTAAATTACTTTGGTTTGTGCTGCAGCATAGTACTTTATGACATCCTTCAATATATTACTAACCATTATGTGCATATCAAATCGAATGCTAAGAACTTATAAACTTTTACCAGGACAGTGGTGGCAAGAACTCTCCTCTAATCCAAAAGCTGCAAAGTCTTAGAGCAGCCACTTTGTGAAAAAAACTGTTGAAGGTAGGTCTCTATCCAGCCCACCTCTGAAGACCCCATATGGTCAAGACAACATTAGGTAATGACCATCTTTGATGAGTTGCAGTACTTTCTTTTACTTTCTCTTTTCCCCTTTAGTAGGTTGATATACTTGGTGGTCACCTAGATGACAAAGAAGCAGATTGTAGCATGGTTTTTAAAACCGACCCGGAGGCCGAACCGGTCAGGGGTCCAGTTACCGGGTCGAATGGTCGGTCCGTTTTGACAAAAAATAAAAAAATAAAAAAAATGAAAACCGGTCAAAATCGTTCAAACGGTTAACCGCCCGGGTCAGCAGTTTGCTGACCAAAATCAACGGTTTTTATGGAAAATCCGGTTTTGGGGAAAACCGGAACGATCACCTGACCAGTTCCCGGTTTTCCGGTCCGACCGTCCGGTCCGGTCCGGTTTTGAAAATCATGGATTGTAGTACACCTATAATAAGCATCAGGTATTTGTTATATGTTTTTGCATATGTTGTTTTCTGTTTTGAAAGCTGGAAAGTATTCGTTTTTTTATTTTTATCCTCTGTTTAGACTGCAAGGCAACTTTTCTACTGGGAGGAAAGTCTAGAGAAGATGCTCTAATAGCAATATTCCTTCATAGTGGTGATATTGTGCTTGTGGATGGAGAAGCAAGGGAATGCCTTCATGGTTAGTGTAAACTCATCATTTCTAACACATTGACATATATACTCAAAAATGGGAGAATTTCTGAGTGCTTTTAGAGGTGTTTTTAGCAGTACCTTAGTATAACTCTTTTACCTTCTTAAATTCAAGCAATTTAAGATTAAACATAAGTAGCAGTGCTTTTAGAGGTGTTTAGCCTTGATTGAGGCATGTTCCAAACACTCTGAGTGCAAGTCCGAAATGTGAAGTTCTCATGAGGCATAAGTTGGGCCTATGTTTGATGTGAGGTGCAGAACTTTTTAACTGAAGTCAGAGGGATAAGCCTCATGATCATATCAAATTGCTTTAAGAAAAATATGGAACTTCACAATTATCCTCATCATCATCCAAGCCTTATCCCAACTATATGGGGTCGGATAAAAAATATGGAACTTCACAGTAATAATTAAAATTAAGTTATTTGTATTTAACTTTAACTCCAACTAGCATTGCTAAAGTTAGCCCTACTTGTCTCAATAAATAGAAAAGGACCATTAAGGCTGTATGTGGTTCTCGAGAAAATAAGTGAGAAAGGGAAAGTTGTTAATAAATTTTTCATAAGATGCATAGAGAACTTTCATGCAATTTCCCTTTTTCAATAATTTTCTGGTAAACCGTGTTGCTGATAAATAAAAATAGTAATTTTATGGTAAACCAGACACAGCTAAAGAAAAGAGAAAAGATATCAGTATTTTTTAAATAATTGTTGATATATGTATTTTTAGCCAGAAAAATACGATAAATGATCAAATTGCTTCTTAACATTTTTTGCTCATATATCTCTATAAGTACCACCTATGCTAGAATTTTCTCTACTTGAAATTTTGGTCCATGTGGAAGTCGGATTAATTCATGGAAGTTTTATAGAAGCTAACAAAAATTTCATAAAATTATGGAAACTCTAAGACATTAAAAAAAGTTGGAAACTTATGCCAGACTTTTAAAAAACAATATAGAATGAATATAAACACACATGTAGGAGTTGCTGATCATTATACAACCCAAACAACTATTTAAAATAGGTAACATAAAATATAGAAAGTGACTCATGTCTTTGAACATGTCTAATATTCTTAAAATCCAAATGATACACAAGTAAACAATTCATAAGCAAATGCAGCAATGATAAATACAAAAGAAAAAAGAAAAATCCTTATGCTCATTTCAGATTCTCAAATGTTTTTTGTTTTAGTGGACATTCTTTCATTTCAGAGTTTTAATGGGAATTATTTCATGTTTAAACCAAAATTATATATTTTTACGCCACGGATATAATATTTTGGTCATAACACTCAAAACTTGCTATGGTTTGACTAGCTCTGGGAGTTTAACCTAAACTTTAACCAGGAGAGTTTCGAATTGTGTTGATAAGACTTGTTTGAATGCAGAAATGATATTGTCACTTTCCCCTTGATGGAAAATCTTATCTCCAGAGTTTTTCGACATAATTATGTTAAATTAAAAAAAAAAAAAAAGTTCTTGAGAGTTGATATACCTTATTGTTCTTGAACAGTAAGATACTTTGTGGCTTTAATGAAAATTATGAAATTTACTCAATCAAAAAAAAATCTTGAAAGTCATTTTCTAATTGTCTTTTTGAGCATTTACAACTGTATCTGAACAGCTAAAAGGCATCAGCTAGCTGCCATGCAGATAGCTGGCACTTCTTACTTCATCACTAAAAAGATAGAAATATCCCGTACTTCACCGTATTCTGGGTCCAGTAATTATGATTATTCTACTTCTACTAGAATATTGAGATGATGGATATTTGTAACTGAATTTTATATGTATGTGTGTGCAAGGGGAGGTTAATATTTAAGCCTTGTTCCATCTATATGGGGTTGGAAACATGAATCCTGTTTTACCATTCCGTTCTGTTCAGTGTGAATGTGTGAATATGATACTGAAAATTTTGGAATATGTTTATATTTAAGAAAATTTAATTTTTCTTTTTGTCTACTTTAATAGAAACAGTAATTTTGTTAGCAGTAGGTGGTAGTATGAGCAAAAGTTGGCCTGAGAATTTAAGCAGAATCAGAATTGGGAACTGGGTTCAGGACCTTGATAGGAAACTGGAAGCTTATGTCAACAGACTGGTGGATTACCAATAACTAATGGGGTCAGGAAAGATTAGTGCATTTTTAACTTATTGTTTGTAATACACACTTCTCTAGGATGACACATTTATTACCCATCATCATCATCCTAACCTTATCCCAACAATATGGGGCCGACTACATGAATCCTGTTTTTCCATTTCATTCTGTTTAATGCCATATCCATTGTTAAATTGTGAGCTATAAATAATTTATTACTACTTCAAAACATGCCCTTTTTTTGGTCTACACCCAGTCTTTCAAGCCCCTTCAACTTGCAACAGGTCACACATTTATTAACCATATGACCCTTTTTTCAACATGGATTGTTTATGTCTTTATCCTATAAGGAATCTAATTGGTGTATTATTGAAGACATCCATGATGGTTCATCTGTGTCTGACAAATGAGTTAGGAAAGTGCTGACAAGTCATACTAACCAGTTCATTTAACATATAGAAAAACACACTGTTCACTATTAAGGCCAGTGTTTTAATGGGGTCATCCTAAGGACATGTAGTGGGTATTTAGTTTCTAATGTGCAAAAGCTAAAAACAATTGAGTATAGATATGTTGTCTTGATATTGACATATTGATCATTTTTGTTCTGGCTCATTTGCTTGTTCTATCCCCATCAAGGTTCCAAATTAGACTCTAACCATGTCAAGTCTGCTAATTAAGTCCTGAGCATCAAGAGTGCTTTAGAAAATAAAACTTGGAGACTTTTTGGACGCTTAGGTCTCTGCATCAATACAACGTATGGGATTAGATAGCCAGCCAACATCAGCATTAGTTCCCAAACAATTCAGAGCCTCCTGTAAAATTTGTCGATTTTCTTTCAGGAATGGTTATTCTAGGCTTGGTTGTCATGTATATATATAATTAATAGTAGTAGTATAGACAACTATATTTATTGGGAAGAGAAAAGGAGATAAGAGTTGTACTCCGGGGCACTTGATCCAAGCTATAGAAAAACAATACTGGCTGTCTACCTTTAATGACAGGAGAGTAATTTTCTTGTCTCAAAGTCGATGATATCAGTTAGCAACTGAAAACACCTCAAGACTCTTGACACAATTTTGTATAGCAACATGTGTTTGAATTGATTATTTTCTCATTATGCTCTATGAATTTCCCTTGCTCCTGTTTTCCAGGGATATTGCGGCATTCACAGATAAAGAAAATGCTAAGGTACCCCTCTTACAAAACAATTTGCACAGCAAGATGATCTCTGTTTCAAGGAATACATCAGAACTTCAACAATCAACACTAATATCAGATAAGTAGTTCAAGTGTAATTCTTTCTCATCCAAATTTTAAAAGTTAGATCCTTTTTTTTATTCAGTCAGAACTTGGTTTCAATTGATATGGGCAATAAAAGAAGAGAATACTTTTTTATTCATCATAGCGAGTCACGTTGAGAACTGAATTAAGAAGTAACCTTTTCATTTTATCATGTTCTTTTCTTTTTTTTCTTTCTCCTTTTTGATGAGCTACGCCCGCAGGATCGTGTTGCATACTCTCCTGGGTTGGCTTGGCTTGGACCGGCCATGAAAAACTGGCTCCACTCAGTTAGTAATCCCGATGAATCAGACGACAGTGAATCTTCGCCGGAATAAACAATCTAACTCTTACTCTTTTCCATCACCAGTAGAGCCAAGCCCAGAGTCCAGTTTGCACGCTAGGGTCGGAACCGCTGCCGGCAAGCCTGGCAAGTGATCTCCATGCACGTAGAGTCAACCTGGTGGGTTGCCATCTCCTTCATTCTCTTGGCCTTCTCCACCTCCTCCCGAGCTCTCTCCCACAAGTGCTTTGCCCGCATGAATTCTGACTGCGCCAACTCCATCTCCCGTCTCGTCAGCTCCCTCACTTGCTCTGCATAAGCCTTCTCTATGGTAGCTAATCGAATTTGCTCTGCGGCCTGCCACTTGAGTGCCTGAACGCAGCTCAAGTCGGTCTTTGCATCACCCTCACGAAGGGACCCTGCCAGGAGACAATCTGACTGTGGCCGAAATGGCCGGAGGCTGATCGATAGCTGCAAGTCGAGCGATGGGCCATCAAAAGGATCGGATAGTGTCAGTCGTGACTTCCGGTTGGAAGAACCGGACATACATGAAGAACGATGTGTTGGAGAGGATGAAGGGTGCAAGGATGCTGGGAGTAATTGTAGTTCCTTGTGATCATTTTGTTCCATTGGAGACGATGAAAGAGCAGTGACTGAGTGACTGAGAGTGAGTGAACAAGGGAGAGCCGAATGAAGCTTGAGAGCTGTGGGATGACCGAAATGATATCTCTATATACTAGTTTTCCCGATGATTGAATTACCAAAATGCCCATGCTTCCTTACAGAATGAATTTTTACACTTTTTTAACTAACCACGAACCTCAGTCAGTCTTCATGTCATGTCCCAGTAACCCAGTCCCCACTTACAATTACGAGCCTGCCCTTCACCTTGTTTGGGTAAACGATGTTGTTATTGGAGGTAAAAGTGCTAAAATCGAGGGGCATTTGCGGCTACCAGTGCTTAATGAAGAATTCCATTATATTTGGAAGAAATCAAGAAATGGGTCGCGTTATTTGGCAATGAATGGTTCTTTAGTTCTTTCTCTCAGAGTTTCTGCCAGAGTTGCGATTTGCCACTGCCACTGCCTATACGATACTCATCTTTCTTTTCTTTTCTTTTACCTCTTATTTAATTTATTTAATTGCTTTTTTTTTTAATTTTTAAGATGAGGATGTGGAGGGGAGGGAGGGAGGTGGGTGGGTAATAATTACGTTGGCACGTGCGTTGGGCAAATGGGCTTGGGGGCCTTTTTCAAGAGGAAGCACTTTATGGTACTGGCTGGTAGGCCTAGGTTGTCGACTCCCTCTATAGAAAGGCTCCACTCCGACCACTCCCTCTACTTTTTTCTCCGACGACGGGCAGCTTGGCACGCGCCACGGGCAACCCTTCACTCTTCAGTATCAGAATGAGTTGGTTTTGATTCATCATCTAACACTAGTCGCCAACTCGTCATTGGGTCCCAATCCCCATACGGAATGCCTCTTGGGTATCGATATCAGCTAATTGAAAAATGACTTCCATCATTAACAATTTGCTTCTCAATTAGATAGATGTAGATCCCAATCACGGACCCGGTGGATATAAATTCTGTCAGATTTGGATCATCATTCCATAATCCCATTATTATCTGGGTTAATAGCCAATGACCCGTTTTCTAAACACAACAGTGCAGGAACCAGGGATTATTATTTCAATTTTTATTTTTTATTTTTTTATTTCATGGTCTGTTGTTAAGATTATTGGAGCTTCTTAAGTCTGATTTTTTTTTTCAAGTGTTTGAGAGTGATCAGGAAGACAATGTGGCTACTGGGTAGCTTTTGAAGATTCTCTCTCTCTTTTTTTTTTCGAAGAACTAGCAGCCACATGGTTGAAGGAGAGACAGCCCTCAGTCTGTCAAGATTTAACCCTAATGGTCCCAGTTTGCTAGCAGATCAGAAGGAACTTCACAGTGTGTGATATATATAAAATTGCCATTCTTTGCATGCTTATTACCTTTGACTGTCCAAAAAGGTATTAACAGTAGCTGGCAGTTGTAGCATGATATGATGATGTTAGTATTGATCTTTGTCAGTTGCAACATCCTCCTTCCTATTGATTTTGTTTCTAAATACAATTAATACTTTTTAAACCATCAAAATAATGATTTTTAATTTAAAAACTAAATTTGGAATAGAGATATTATATGATTTATGAAGCAAGATATCAAATCATCTTGTGAAGTTTTCACAAATTAAAAAAAGCATGCAACTATGCAACTAAGAACATGTTTTCTGAGTTTTGTGTTTTGTATTAAGAACCAAATTATTTAAAATCAGATGGTTTTAAATTGTTTATGGTACTGATCTCACAATAAAAGCAATTCACATTGAAGAAGAAGAATCTAGAAAATATAGTAATTTAAGGTCATGTTCGGTTTGATAGAAAAATAAGAGAAACAAAAAATTGAGGCTAATTCCAATTCCAACTATTAGAGCCCATTTGGTTGGTAGGAATAGGTGTCTGAATTGGAATCAGAATGGGTCATTCCAATTCCAACTATTTGGCTGGGTGGAATCGATATTTCATTCCCATTTTTGGTGGATTGGATATTCCCTTGTCCCTCCCTCTTGGGAGTGAAATCCCATACCAGCTGATTCTAATTCCTGTCTGAACCAAATAGACTATGAGAATAGATCATTCTGATTTCAATTCCAATTCCAGCTGCAAACCAAGCAGACCATTAAGGAATTTTGTGAAAATTCTTAAGAACTTTCTATTAAGGGGGTATTCTTTTTTTGGATTTTGAGAGGAGGGGGGGGAGTTGGTCAATGGGAATCAAGATCTCATTGACCAAGAAACTCATGTTCTTTTTTCAGATTTATTTGGAGACTAAGGAAAGTTTGGTAAATAACTTTCCCACTTAGGGGGAAAATTGTCAACACTTGAATGGGACAAAAATACCCCTTTTAATAATGGATTTTTATGGCTAAAATGGCCATTGCATTATTTACATGAAAAATAAAAGAACATGGGTAAGTGCACTTACTTACCCGGATAAATCTTTCCTGAGAAACACTTACTCAAGCAAATGCATTTACCCGGATAAATAACTTACCGAAAAGCGAACAGGGCCTAAACCAAAAATAGCTCTATTTTTTAATTCATGCAATGACTCCATCTTATATGATGAATTCATGGGTTCTTACATGGTATGTAATGACTCCATGAGCTCATGGTTTCTAAGCCCCACCCTGCGTCTATAGTCTACATTTCTGATTATTTTAACATCTTCGGTCTTCCCATACAAAAGTGAAGAATTGGTACATTGATTATATGTACTAAAAGAAAGAGAAGAATATTGATTATGATGCTGACTTTGACATTCATAAACGGGATGAAGATGATGATGAGAATTTTAATTTTTGTTGGTGGATCATTTCAATTCATTTTGCAGCTAAAGGACAGAAAAGCTTGTTGGATCGAAGTTAGGCATAAAACTCAACGTGAACAACGTTGTGATTGAAGGCGACCCAAAACTAACGACTGCACAAATGGCAAAATAAAGTTCCCTCACAGCAGGGCAACAATCTTTCCAGACATTCAAAGGTCCAGCAAGCCAATCAACTCAGCAGATAGACCGACTAACCAAGAGCATGATGAGAAAGAAGGGTTTGTTTTGTTTGGCTAATTGGAAGAAGCAGATTACAAGACATTTGGTGCCCGCACCACCCCTACGATGTCTTAGTGCCCATTCGAGAAACCCTATAAGCTATGTTTGATTAATACGTCTTAATTGAGTTATTAAATCGACTTTCTGGTGAAGCTAGTTTCAGTAACTTCTTCAATGTGGCTCAGTCAACGTAACTCAACCAAAGCTGAAGCGGTGAAACCCTCCCAAATGGGCCTTAGTGCAGTTATTCCATTATTAAGGGTTGAAGTTACGGATAGGCTTCACACTTGTAGTAGGTGGTCCATGCATTGGTTTGCCCGCCAGCTCAATGAGTATTGTTGGCTGATGGCTTTTTACCAATCCCTAAGGTAAGATAACAAGAAAAAGAACAGGAGTTATACCAATACGGTAGTCCTTGAACTTTTGACTGTTTAATTATAGTAACTGGGGCCTGGTCAGCCTCTGATCACTGCAGGTTCACCGATCTGATGACTGTTTTTGGGTTAACAATGCTTTGAAAACATTATCATGAATCTAAATCAAAAGAGATGTTTGGTTAGGAAGGATTTAAAGTTTACAGTATCAGCAAAATGTAGCTAATCAAGGGTCAAAGTATTGATATAGGCGTTCTGAAAATGAGACTATTTTCAGAACAAGATTTAAAACCTTCTATTCTCTTGACTCAGCTTGGAAGAAGTATAAATACAAATATGTAGAGTGTAAAATCTTATATTTTTTATTATTTTATATGTATTTGTATTGTATATATTAAGGTTCAAAGTATCGATATGTATCGGTCTATATCAGTCAATATATATCATTTCAGGACCCCTCTGATATACCCCTACAGTGGGTGGTGTATCGGGGGTTTGACCGGTTCAGGGAGTGGAGGAGCCCTAAACTGGCCCCCCTGAACCGATTGCGGAAAAAAAAAACATCAAAAATTGTATTAATTCGCTCAATACACTAGTGTATCGATATTTTGAGCCTTGGTACAAATACAATATTTATATTTATACTCTTTCCAAACTGAGCCTTGATGAATATAAAACTTTAGATATCTTCATTCTTTCAAATTTCAGTTATTTCATGTATCACCCACCCTGAAAACCGATACTTATATAGCAGCACTTTGACCGATAATCAATATGAACTACGTGAGATCCACTGACCTTACATGCGGTTTGACCCCACGCTTTTGCTTTTATGTGTGGAGAGAGACACCAAATGACCATCTCAGCTATAAGGCAAGCATGACCTCCAAGCAAAATGAATGTTATGATTTTGTGAAGAGTTTACTCCTTGGTAAAATTTAATAGTATCAATAGTGCATCTCTCTTTTTCCCGTTTTTACCCCTGTGTGAAGCTGACCGCGGGCAGAAAGAGCCCCATCGGTGCGGTTAAAAGGGCCCATGACACATGTTGTTTGAATGTATTTGTCTTCAAGATGCCATCCATAAGACTTATGGGAAGGCTACTTTATGGAGGGGGGCAAAAGCTGAAGGAGAGGTGGGCATGGAGCATGTGAGGGGTCGGAGGTTGTCCGTCCTAACTGCTCAGCTTTAGTCGCTGCCCGATAAACCCATCGGAGAGGGGTGATGGAGGTCACTTTTGGACAATGATTTATTTATCATGGTCTCCCACTAAGGCTCTCCCTTTGTTATTTTCTTTTTGGCCCAGTATGACCTAGAACACCTACTGAAAGTGGATGTTTGGCCAAAGTCAGTGCATCAGATCCCATGCCAAATCAATCTTGTCACCTTCACAATGCAACAGTGGGCCGGAATGGGGATCATTGATGGAGCCCTTTTATCTTTGTACCCTGGCTTGGGCATTAGGCCCAACCCAGTATAGGTTAAAACGAGTTCATGAAGGTTGCTAGTTTGGCAGATTGTCCAATTTATCCGACACCCATATTTGAGCGTGGCCCATGTCCATGTGGGAAGAAGCCTATGGAACTGTTTGTATCCCCAACTGCTTATTTGAACGTGCATTTTTTTGTGGCAGTGGAGAACAAGAATTCGGATTTGCTCCTCGTTGAGCGTTCCTCATGCCGACCTCACAGTACATCCTAATTGCACATTGGGAACATCTTTCGTACTTGTGTATTGTTATTCATGGAGAGCTATTCCCAATACATGATGGGATGTACTGTAAGGTCGGTAATGAGGAGCAAATCCCAATTGGGAGAACAGCAACCAGAAGGCCTATGCAGTTGTTTTAAATTTGTGGTTTGTGAAGGAAAAAGCAATAAAGCTGAGTTTCTTATGTCATTTCTAGTTTTTACAAGAAGATACTAAATTGGTATTGCAATCTAATAATGACAACAACAATGACGATGATGTCAATCCTCCATCTAGATCATCTAGAGATGCAAAAGCAGGCAGATTTCCTTCATCAATTGGACATGTCTTTTAGGTTGAAAACGTGATTCCCTTCATAAATTTCAAGAGCTGGAAGGGACAGCAGCAGCGCCTTCTTAGCGATTACGACGGAAGCCATCTAACAAGATAGAGCAGCAATAAAGTCAAAAAGGAAAAAGAAACAGAAAATGGCCATAGTTCGATTTGTGCTTGTCATACTTGCCAAGGGGTCATGCTGGTCTTTTTCAAGGATTATATGGTCGATATTCTTTTTTTTTTTAATTTCTTTAATTTAGGTCTGGAATTTTTTTTTTTAAGTTTTTAAAATATTTGTATATCGATATATCTAAGTACATCTGAATACAATACAATACGCCCAATATGAAACATCTGGTATTGATATTTTAATTTTTGGTATTTTCTATATCATTTCAATTTATTCAATGTCTCGGATAAAAGATATTCTATATATATACTTTTTTTTTCACTTAATGAACTCAAACATATCCTTGTTTGGCAAAACTGCTTTCCAAAACAAAGTTATGGGGCCCAACTCAGGCCATAGTCCACGTTTCCAGCTAGCAGAATGAATCGATGGACCTTCGATAAAGAAAAGAATGAAAGAAACAGCTAATGATCCAAACCTTCTAAAATGATACATCATAGTACACAACCTTACACAAAATAAGGCACACACTTGGTGGTGGGGAGCAAACAGTTAAAACCATTCAGTTAATCAGATTTCCCCTGTTTGGATCTTTCAGTTGGTTTAACCAAATGTTTAGATCACGTTTCACTGTGGTAGTTCAATCTGTCAAAGCAATTGTGTACATATGATTATATAAAATCCTGAAGATTGCAGGCTGCAAAGACATACTGTATACCGAGGTTCAGCCATTCTAAGTATAGATGCATTCGATACAAAAATTTAACAGAGTTTCTTTCAATCAGGGGCAAAATATGATGGTAAGTGATTTGTCAAAGATAAATTATTATATAGGAAAAAAAATTGTGAAAGGTAATTTTTTAATTAAAAGTTTATTGGAAAAAAATATCTATTTAAAATAAATAAAAATTTGTTGACAATAATATATTTAATCTAATAAAATAATAAATAATCATGGCCATCTGCCAATAAGTGAAAGAGAGAGAGATGACTTTTGTCATCCTATTTTTGTTTTATATAGTGGAATAATTATAAATAGTTAAATAATTATTATTTAATTTAATAAATAAATAAATTTATAAAATAAATGAGATAAATAGACAATCAAGTGAGAGAGTAAATACATATAAATATCTACATGATTCTATGTCTTACCTTGCTAGCAATAATAATTGGTTAGATTATTAAATAAGTAAATAAATAAGTCAAACTTTATGTATTATCAACACAAGATTGGTAAAGGCTATTTCAAATTATTTAATTAATTAATTTAGCATTGTTAATGGGTCGGGCTAAACTACTAGGCTTACCCAGCCCATGAACAGGCTTAGCCCAGTTCATGGCTTGCCTGGCCTAAGACTTGGCCCACAAACCAGCCTATGCGGGCTTGGGCTAAAATAAAATTTTAAGATCTTTAATTTTTTGTCTGTTTTTTTTAATTTATGTTAAAATTTTCAATATTTTTTTTCAAAATTTTTAAAAACATGGCTTAGCCCGGTCTAGCCTAAGACTTGGCTCGGGCCGTATATTATATACAATAATTATATAATAGATATGTATAATTTTATTATATTATTTCATTTTATTATTGCATATATAAACAATTGTACACACCAAAATTCATATAAAATAAAAATTTAAGATCTTTTTAAATTTTTTTATTGTGAAAATTTTCATTATTTTTTTTCAAATTTTTTAAAAAACATGGCTTAGCCCGATTCGTGGCCCGACCTAGCCTAAGATTTGGCCCACGATAGGGCATGGGCCTGCTTAGGCTCGGGCCGTATATTATATACAATAATTATATGATATAATTATATTATATTATTTTATTTTATTATTGCATATATAAACAATTGTATACATCAAAATTCATATAAAATAAAATTTTAAGATATTTTTTATCTATTTTTTTAATTTATGTTAACTTCTTCATTATTTTTTCTTTAAAAAAACATGGGTTAGCCCGATTCGTGGCCCGGCCTAGCCTAAGACTTGGCCCACAGACCAACTCGGCCCACGGCGGCATGACACAGGCTTGTGTGGGCTCGAGCCGAGGGTTGTGCCAAGCCGACCCCCTAAAGTATCCCAAGGGAGGGAAGCACAGCCGGCACGGCACGGCCTAATACGCCCCGATTGTAAATTTTTAACAAATACGAAAAAGGTAACATTTTAATGGCATCATTGTAAATAGTTAACAATGGTACTATTGTAAATAATTACATGTTTAGTATCAAATATGAAAGAGGAAAAGGAGAAAGGACAAATTATGATTATTTTTTTTTTGTTTTATTCAGTGGTATCATTGTAATTAATTAAATCTGTAATGGTAATGGTTAATAGCATGATAATGGAAAGATTATAAGATTCCATCTAGGTTATATATATATATATATATATATATATAAAGATTCAAATTGGAAAATGCACACAATCCCAATACAGCCTTTGGATTTTAGGTTATATTAGGGGTGTACATTTGGTCGATTTGGTTTGGTTCGGTTCAATTCAAACCGATGACCTAATCAACTATTCAGTTTGGTAATATCCCTCAACCAAACCAAACCGAATTAGGCTTAAAACCGAACCAAATTTTTGGTTCAGTTTTTTGACAATTTAAAAAACAAAAGAACTCAGTTTTTTAAAGAGGGGGGAAAAGGGAAAAAAAATCAAATAAGAGTGTAGCTGTAGCTAGCTGTAGTTGTTTTTTGAGTTTCCTAAATGGGCAACTCCACTTTCCACCCTTTGACAGTTTGAATCCTAACCCACCCCACTCCTATAGTCCCACTAGTAGTTAACTAGTTATATTAATTACTAATTAATTTAAAGTAGTGCTGATACTAGTTTCAACTGGGCCCAAAGCCCAAAGGTGGCTCACTGGCACTATAGTTCGGTTGTATTAAACTCTTATATATATACAATTATATAAAGTATAATAGTTCGTTTTTTGGTTCGATTTAATTATATTTTTAAACAAACCAAGCCAAAACACCGAAGCGAACCAATATCCAAATTAACCGAACTGAATTAGGTTTGGTTGGGTTTTAGGTTTCTCATCCAAATTTGAATACTCCTAGGTTGTATATAAGATTTGACATTTTAATAGGCGACATGTCACCCCGACAATCGACACTACGATACTCGTCAATACTTTGAACCTTGTTGTATATTCAGAACCAATGTTCAAACTACATCTAGCTAGCTATCAAAAAAAGTTAAAAACTATAAGTCTATAACTACATTAGTATCATACTGGAGAGAATTTTAAGGCACGTATGATGGAGTTATTAGGATCCACATGGATATGTTAAGAAAATTTATGAATCCCTTGATGCATAAATAATACTAATTCCAAGACCTTGGATAATCACAAGTATGGTAGAAGACACACACAAGAACGCATTTTAATAGTTTTCTAAAGCTTGAATTACTAAATACACTCGCAAAACTTAAAGAGATGATATATAAGAAATGAATTAAAATATACATGTATACCTTAAGATACCTATTTAAATAATATTGATACCGAAAAATATTATTTTAATGATCAATTAAATTGTTATTTACTGTTTTTAATTTCTCTAATTGTTATGATACTAAATTCATACTTAACACCAAGGTTTTAAATACGAGGGCGTAACGCAAGGCATTTTACTACTTAGAAGCATGATGCATGGTTCAGAATATAAGAGGCATAAGCCTTCCGAACATAAGAGGCATATGCCTCAGAGGTATCAATGACTTGCCTGAAGGCGCAGGCCTATGACTCCCACACCTTTTAGAACATTGCTTTTTAACACTTTGTAAACTAATAGGCCAAGTGAAACCTGCCCAATCAAATAGCCTTTGCATCCAATCAACTAGAACCTATATCGGGCCCACAACTCCAATTTTAATCAGAAAAAATGATTAAGAGCCCGAACATGCAAGGTACAACCCAGCTTTGGTTTACTCAAACCGATAAAACAAATCAAGGTAGAATGCTTGGCATTTGATAAAGTTCTAAATTAGCATAAACATTAAACACAAAAGCAGTATAACAACAAAAATAAAAAAGAAACAAATTACAGAAGGATTCACATCAAACATACTGCACGTTATAGTTACAAATATCCTTTTTTTCCGGGTGGTTTCTTCTCTGACTTCTTTTGGTTGTTGAGGGAGGGGGATATTAGCGAAGGGTGATATTCTTCCCCCACTAAGGAAAGAATAAGCTACCTAACTTGTCTTATTTGAGGGGTGGTGTGCTCCTACCAACAATGTCCTCAATCTGTTCCAATGTCAGAACTGCTGCACTATTATCAAAATTCGCATTCTCCATCTGCTGGTGCAACTGTGTCAAGAAAAATGCATAAATCTTAGTTTTTTTTTCGATTTCTTCTGAAGGACTACACAACGGGGGTAGCCCATCCCCCATCCCATAAGTCTTAACCCCCCAACCCAGGTGCAAGCAAGATTCAATCCCAAATCTCCGCTACGACCAGCAGACCAGCAGGAGACCTTACCAACAATCTGGTTGGTAAATGACATTAATACATATAATTGACAACCTAGTGCCCCATGTTAACCCAGTTGTCTCTTTAATTGACCAAAACTGTAACCAATAATGGATACTGGTCATCCATCAATAATCGACTTTTAACATGTAAGCATGGTTTGACTTTGATCCATTATTTACATTCACAATATTCTATCTGCATGGATGCAAACTTAATAGGATATGCTAGAGAAGAAAAATGTGCAATGGCCAAACAATTCTAGAATCTGAAAGCGACAGCATAAACGTCCAATAGCACTAAACAAGTCCTCAGTAGTAGTTAGATCTGGGGTAGAAGGTAGAGCAATTGATGTTGGTCTGTCTGCAACCATATAATGTTGCATCACCCCCCCCCCCACCAACACAGACTCACTCCAACCATACCAACCAGAATAATTAAGTGAAAAGAAACGAATGGTAAAGGTAAACCCCGTATCTTTTTTAACTCTTCTGATCATATATACTCACAGATCAAGATTCCAATAACTTCTAAGCTCCAAATTCAGAATCACTGAACATGGCCTGTGAACCCAACACTCATTTTTTTATTGTACTTGTTTAGGCATGAAATTTTATAGTCAGTAAAGAGGAAGCTGTGGCAAGCAGGTAGGTGAAGATAGATTTACATTGCTTCCATCATAAGACAGTTTTCTTTTTCCTGCTTAGCAAGCTTGCATCTTAAAGATGGTGCCGTTTGGCATGTCTTTTTTGAAAGATCTTCTGGAAGATCTAACAGCCCAAAAGACATAGTGGGCTTTTACATAAAGATCTTGGCAGCCCATAGACCGTTTGGTTGGAGGTGCATCTTTCCATGTGTCTTTCCGTGCGAAGACAAGATGAAAAAAGGCGAGAAGCTCCATTTCTAGCTTCTCGTGTCTTTTTGGGGTGCAGTCTTTCTCCTAACCAAAAGAGAAAAGACGAAAGCACGGGCTTCCGGGCTTCTAAACAGCCGACAGCCCCCGCAGAAAAACATGCCAAACGGGGCCATGCCATCAATAACGTATAGACAAATTTCCCAAGAAAACATAAAAAATTAAAGACTGCCATTTACCATTGACAGGATTGTAGACTGCTCCTCTGGGTGAAATTTACGCATGTGCCTTAGCATCTCCAATTGCTACAAGAAACAGAACAATCAAATAAAATCATATCATGGTTATGCATACATTATAAAGAAAAAGGGAAAATTTTCGATCAGTACCCTGTACTTTGGCTCGAGTGACAATTTGGTCCCCAAACTTTAAAATGCGACAATCCAGTACCCAAACTTTCAAAATGTGACAATTCAATACCCGAACTTTCAAAATATAACAATCCAGTACCTGTCGTTAATCAGCTGTTAAGTGACATTTGAAAAGTCAAAAATTCCCCAAGAATGCCATCTAATTCTCTTTATCAACCATCCAAACATTGACAATAAAATGAACAGTCCCAAATTCTAGATTCTTCTAAACAGTCACCAACTTTTTTGAATAGTCTAGGATTTGGGAGTGTTCAGTTTTTTGTCAACATTTGGATGGTTGATAAAGAGAATTAAATGGCATTCGAATGGCATTTTTGACTTTTCAAATGTCACTTAACGGCTGACTAACGGATTGGTTAACGGCAGGTACTGGATTGTCATATTTTGAAAGTCCAGTTACTGGATTGTCACATTTTGAAAGTACGGGTACTGGATTGTCGCATTTTAAAGCTCGGGGACCAAATTGTCATCAAGCCAAAGTACAGGGTACTGATCGGGAATTTTCCCAAAAAAATTACAACAGGAATGGATAACACCTACCTGCTCTTGTAGCTTCTGTTGAGTATACACTTTTTCTGCAAATTCATCAGGCTCGAGCTCAGCTTCATCACAGGCCATTTCTTCCCTGTCATCAAAAAACCAATGGCCTAATCATTATGAAGTGAATTGTTGAGGCCTAAAAATAACTGTCCATTACCAAAATTTCTAGTCTGGATGAGAAAAATTAAGAAATTTATGAACAGAACAAATGGTCAACTGATTTTTTAAAATTAAATAATTCCATACAGATAAACCATCCATCCTTTTACCCTGTGTTATTTTTTCTCAATTTCTAGGTAAGACCAATAGTAGGAGATGCTCTTTTCATGCATGGGATTAAAAACTCTTTAAAATGAATTATATTACTAATACCCTCCAAGCATTTTGATTTTAGATGAAATTTACAAGATGTGTCTGTTGTGACAAATGAGATTTGAAAGGTCAAATTCTGGAACAGATCAACCTTAGGCCCCGTTTGTTTTTCGGTAAGTAATTTACCGGGGTCAATGCAATTACCCGGGTAAGTTTTTCCTGGGAAACACTTAGCCAGGTAAGTGTATTTACCCATGTTCTTTTATTTCCCAAGTAAAAAAGGAAATGACCATTCTAACCATAAAAATCCATTATTAAAAGGGACATTCTTGTCCCACTCGTGTTAGAAACTTTCCCCCCAGGTGGGAAAGTTATTTACCCACCTAGAAGATCCGGGTAAGTGATACCCAGGAAACTTTCCCTGGTCCCCACATTAATCTGAAAAAAGAACATAGGATTCTTGGTTAATGGGAACCAAAATCCCAAAAAGAACACCCTCTTAGTAGTATGATGAATCATAGAGGAATGATCAAGGATCAAAATTTTGATATGATACTCCCCGTATTCGGCGTATCATATCGTATCTTTTGGTTCCCGATACACCTACTCACAGGTGTCTTTGGGAACCAATTTTTTTAAATAATATATAAATATATTTCAAACTGAAACTTAAAAAAAAAAACTCAAAAAATAGGGGAAGCGTCATTCAAAGTACTGATACACAGAGGTGTATCAATACTTTGAACTATTGGCATGATTCATACACATTGACCTGACTAAACTACAAACAGTTGCAGCCAGAACGTATTTTCTGAGCACTCTAATACATTAGTCAAGCTCAAGACTTGATAATCATTATTGACAAAAATTTGTTGGTATTGAACAAAGAAACTGGATGATGATAAAGAACCAAAGAACATATTTATCAAGTATGACTTGTGTCAGATTTTGCACATTATATTTCACGACAAACATAAGTTCTCCATACATTTTTAAAAGATTAGAAAAAATCAAATCTTCTTCAGTAAAATTAAAAAAAAAAAAAAACAAAGGACCAGTTAGAAATTACTTTGCAACAAAACCATAAAACTGGATCATCAAGTCTCGGTCATTCTCATAAGCCACATTCACTTTTCCCAAGCAAGCAATGCCAAACCACGGATCTGCAAAAGAAGAGAAAAAGTAGTTAAAACAATACAAATACTAGAAAGTGGTACTGCAGATAGGAAATGCATACTAAATTGTATCAAGCCTTATACAGGGATCTGGATCCCCTTGCAATAATATTATATATCTTATGAACTACTAACTGCGATGATAACCTCCATTTCAAATTCAAAGGAAAACTGCTTATATTCCAGCTATACCTAGAACACATTATGCTGCTATACAACTTCTTAGCTTCAAGGAATTAGTTTCATCTTCTGAGGAATGCACATTCACATTTATGCCAGCACTCAGCATGCTGAAAAAAATTGCATAAACTAACAGTTTGGCTAACTTTCCACTAATTGGACTAGAGAAAAAACATTCAGGTTGTTTATTTACAATGTGGTTAAGTAATTTCCTTCAAGGAAACAAGATATTGATAGGATTTTTTTAAGACAGTATGAACCTAACTAGATTACTGTGAGCTTCATAGTTGTTACATTCTGTTTCGATTACAACCAAAAATATACACGGCATAAAATGACGCTGATGTATGATGTTATTTGCATGCATAAAATGACGGACCACATGTGATGTTCTATCAGTCATTACAGGAATCCTAAATCTGACCCCAATGAATTCACTTGGAACTGAAGCCCAAAAAGAGATCAGCCTTTTGATATTCCCTGTCAACTAAGGCCCTGTTTGGCAAGTCTTTTTGAAAGATCTAGTGCGCTTTTAGAAGCCCGGAAGACTAAAAACGGTCTTTTATTGTTTTTTGATGAATGATAATAAATTTATTAATTCAGAAGCAGATTTAGAGTGAGTTCATACAACATCCCAGGGAGAGG